CAAGTAAAAAAAAACAGCTACAAAGAAAAAGCATTGCACCCCACCATGCAAAACAATTGCTATATCCAAACGAAGCATAATATCCACCAAAAAAACGAACCAATACAAACAACAAATACCAATTCAATCGAAACCCAACAATACCAATTTGGAAAAAAACGCAAAATTCAATCAAAACTCCAAATGGGCATTCCACGACAAGCAATAAAGCCTGAAATTCCAACCCAAAAACCAAAAAATTGAAAAACTTTATCAAAAGGGTATATCAAGCTCGTACCTAAAACCTGATAGAGCACCCCAAGTAGGAGAATTGGAGCCCGAAACACGCAGAATCGAATCAAAACCCAGAATTTGGCGCAGGAGGAGGGAGATACGTCTAAAATAACAGGCGGGTGTTTTTAAATTCCGTCACCGGCGTGCCCAGGAGCGAAATGAAAGGATGTGAACGGTGACGAGTCACACGAGTGCGCTTTGTTTTTGTGTCCCCTTCGGCTTTGGCCCTCGTTTGGGGCTCTCTCTCTCTGCATTTTTAACGAACAGTGGATGTCTCCACGCGCCTCGGCAGTTCGTTTTAACGATTTCTCGTAAACATATGCGTGGGGCCCACAGTGGTGGCGGACTGTGATTGGTAGGCAGGGTAAATATCTGGTGCGGTGCACGTGGGGAAAGCGTGACAACTGAAATGTCCTTTGGAGTTGCCCAAAAGCCCAACGTGGCCTAAGACAAGACATTACTTCCTTTGTTTTTTTTTTTTTTTCCTTCCGTGTTTTCTGTTTTTGTGGGCTTGTCTTGGGTCTTTACTTCTCGGACCCAAACTTGGTCCATATGGGATGTTGAGTGGACACGTGTAAGGAACCGAGATGGATAATTAGAATCTTGGACAAACTGAGTCAAGTGAAAAATGCTCAAGGAAAATTCAATACTCAAAATGGGATTTTGTTTTCATGGCCTAACCAAAATGGGATTTGGTTTTAATTATGCAGATTTGCAATGTTAATGACCTTCTTAAGCTTGCTTCCAGCTGTTTAGGTAAGATTCTTAGCATAAAAAGGTTGTAAATGAAGAGCAATTATTTTTACGCGTGTTCGGGCTTTAATAACAATCACGCGGTAAAGATCATTCCTATTTCTTATTAAGGTAACGTAATAACTTAAATTTTTATAGATTTGACGAAGTTATTAATAATAAAATTAAAATGTTTTTTCTTCTTGTTTTTTCTTTCTCTGCATAATTGAAAACGTTTGCTTGGAGAAGTAGAACAGTGTATAAAATAACAACGTGTACCTGAATTGAGCCATTTTGAGTCCAATTTCAACAAGTAATGCCATATGCTATAATTAGCCCAGAAGAAAGCTTCTTTTGTTTTGGGTTAAGAGATGGAGAGGTAAAGGGAGACAAAGTTCCAAAAGAAATCAACATCTAATGATGCCATTTCAATAATTCAATGGATTTAAAAGGGGGAAAAAAAACATCAAGTTGTCTCCTTGACTTTTGAGGTACTTTCCTTTGAACATGCAGGAACTTCAAATGCAGAAGCACTTAAAACCCACAACTTTGCAATACAACGCAGCAGAGCATATAGTTCATACCCCACCACCACTAACATTGAACTGAGAAAGGACAAAAGTGCTTTTGTTTTTGCTAGTCAAATAAGTGCACAAAGAAGCAAAGAGGAAATGATTCGCTGGGGTTGCTAAGACCCGTTTGATAAATGTTGTGTAATCTGTGTGTTTTTTCCTTTGGGGTTCTTTAACCCCCTTTTCTCATCAAAAAAAAAAAGAAGCAAAGAGGAACAGCAATATTGTGCTTTATAATTTATAATTTATGGACTGAAATTTCATGCTAATTGTAGTACATGGAATTGGGTAATTTGAATGTCCTTTTGGCAACTGGAAGGCCCTCAAAGCTGCTCCATTGATCTCCAATGATGCCCCAGATGAGGTAGCCTTCATCAACCAATCTGTGCCTTGCCTCAGACTTGTATTTTTGCACTTCCATGAACTCATCTTCAAGACCCCTGTAATTAAAACAACTCCTGTTAAAGTTTTCAATTTCAGGCAAGCTTAATTACACATAAATAATCAACAAAAAGATGGATTTGAAAGCCTTGGTGATAGTTCATTATACCTTAATACAAGACCAGTCCATCCATGGTATCCAACCTTAATGAGATTGTCCACACTTGAGGATCTAAGGTTTTCCCTTCTTGAAGAGATCAAAAATATTTTAAGTCCTCTGTTTTTGATCTCATGGAAGAGCTTCAGTGTGTGCTCAAGAGCTGGTGCCTTACTCTCTCTCATCCATGCCTCCAAAGAAGTTGCATTGATCTTCTCTCCCCTAGTTTGGGATTTCCAAATCCAAAAATACATTTTACTCAGGTAATTAAAATTTTACCCCAAGAAAAACACAGTAAAAACCCACTTACCCAAAACCATGTTTCTTGAAGTAAGGAATGGTGGAGAGAAGTGTATCATCAACATCAAAAATCCATGCATCTTTGCCATCACCTTCCAATGTGCAGCAGCTGCTCAAGTAGAAAGTGACCTCCTCCAAGGCCTTCTCTGAATCAGCCTTGTACTGAGAGGATGTCATGTATTTCTGAATGTACTGGACACATTCTTGGGGCACCACATCAAAACCTCTAATGTTGTTCACTTCCACATTGATCCTCCAACTCTCACAGTACTTCTTCAAGCCATCTCCTACCCCATTGTTCTTGTTTTTCTGGTTTTTCAAAATGTTCCAATCTGCTGCAACCACTAAGCCTGTGAAGAGGCTTGAAAATATTAGAAATCCTGTGAGTTTTCCCATTTCAAATGTGATGACAAAAAAGAAACGGGGATGGAGAAAATTATGGGTGAGTTGAGTCTAGATTGGGGGTAAAGAGAAGACATAATTGAGGGTGGCATGGGCTGTGGGGCATGAATTGTCACTGCCTTTTACTGGAGATCACATGGTGTATAATCAATTAAGTTTGATAGCTAGTAAATTGATTGTTGATTAATGAATGTGTAATGGACAACTGGACAAAAGGAAAATTTAGAGTAATGTTGAAGACAACTTTTGAACACCAATTATGATCCAACGTTTCATTTGTTTCCTTTCCGAACTCACTCGAGATTTTATTAATTTCCAACAAATAAAACATCGTCGCGTCAATTAGTGTCCAAAAGTTAGTGTAGTAAGTTGATTTCTAATATTTATGCTTTACAACTCATGAAAATTGTTCCCTAGTGATTTGTGTGCTCTTTGAGCATCATCACTTTGAAAACGCGTCATGCATAGTTCTGGTTTGATCAATGAATCTTAGCCGTCTGATTAAATGTCTTGTGGGCTTTGCAAGGAGACTCATAGTTTCATGAATCTCCAAAGTGATGTTATGAATCTCCAAAGTGAAGTTTTTTTTTTTTTTTTGGTTACAAGGCAGGCCGAAGCCAGAAAAGAAAAAAGCTAACAAGGCACAGCCCTACTTTGGGCTCTTCCTAGATCATCATCCAGCAACAAGCTTGAGAGGGAGACAGGAGCAGACTCATAGATATGAAGTCCCAAGGGTAACTCATACCCCAAGTTAGCAAGGTGATCAGCTGCTCTGTTTTGCTCCCTGTAGATATGAGAGACATTGCATCTCCAATCACGGTTAAGTAACATTTCATAGAAAAACATAATACCAATGTTTTTCTATGAAATGTTTTTTGTATGAAGTTATATAAACATAAAAGAGGAAAAAGCATCCAATGGACCAAAAAGAAAAAGCATCCAAGGGCTAACCTATTTGTCCTGTTTTAAATTTGAGTTGCAAAATTAGGCATAACAAACGGATGGCAAAGCAAGAAGTTTTGATAGATAGAAGTTGAGCAAAACAAAACGTAGGTGTTTGATTGATAATGGTCATTCTAGTTTTAGGGAATTCGTGTACGTTTGTCATATCGACAGTCGAAAAAGATCGACTGGGTGTTGTGAATGTGAAGTTTGAATTCTCTGGCATTTTAAAAAGAGAAGGAAACAAAAAAATTAGGTCAAGTTTGTTCATGGTTGTAATCTTGGTTGGAATGCAAAAGAAACATGGCAATGAGTGGACCCCAAAACCATCTTTGTAGAATTTACTTTATCTTTTTTACAAGCAAAGATAGAAAGATTGAAAGAAGAATAATATTTGCTCCACTCCACAAGAATGAGGAAACAGAAGAAATAGCAATTGTTAAGATCCCTTTTTTCCAACCATTTCAAGGTTTGGTTTCCTTCACATTATCTTGCCACAACATAAGTCTCACTGCAGAGAAACGAAATAGGTTGAAAATGAAACAAAATTTGGTCATGCTATTATTAGCCAACAATGTTGAATGTAAATCTAAGTAGCATGACTCAAAGGAAAATATCTATACATCTCAATGGAAAAATTGTCCATATATCCTTTGAGAGGACAAAGCATCACCGGAAACTATGAGGTGAAAGATGGTCATCGAAACCGTTGTCGAAGTTGAGAGAATAGCTTTGAAGATCATAGGTGTAAGGAGTGTAGCTCTTTCGCCATCCCACAGCTTGTTTCCATTGTGACTTCAACTTCCAAATCAACTTTCTCAAAAGATAGGATCCATGGCAACAACCAGTTGATGCTCTTCTTTCAATGCTAACAAGCGTGACCGCAGATCCGGTGCTTGCGATTCCCTTCACCAACTTCAAACACTGGATTTTCCAACAGCTAGAGATGCTAGAAACTTTCATTTTTAAGCTCCTTATCCACCTTGGTCTGTGTGTTGTTTTATAGAGAGCTCATATGAAATGAAGCAAAAAAGCACCAAGAATAATATACGGTTGGCAAGAAAACAAGCAGATGAAGCTTTCAAGTATCAATTCCCACTAGCAGGCATCATCAACGAGATGTCACAATCCCATTGGTGGAAGTTGATAAACATTATAATCAAATAGTCTATTCAACTTTTCTTTAAAACAATTCCCAGGTCCCATAGGTCCCAGTTTGGAGAAAAGATTGAAGACTTGCCTCTAGTGATGTAATGTCAGTCAAGTGATACAAAACTTTTTGAATGGATCGTCTCTAAAAAGCTGCTTGTGATTATCTGTTGTATTTGGCTACTGTTTCAATCAAAGGCTCTTGATAGTGAACTTTCCTGGAAGAATATACGTCACACGTGGGATGAGGTAGACTCTTACATCAAAAGTTCCCACCGGCCATACCTACATGAGCCATATAGTAAACAGATTAATCAAAAAAAATTTGAACTTGCCCCTTTATGACATGGTTGATCACACTTCACACAGAAAAGGCCCACAAAGATCATGACAAATTGTGTCGTGTATATTTTTTATACTTATATTATAAAAGGAATTAATCAAGACTCTGCTAACAAAGCATATATCTAAGCAAAATATAGCAAACCCTGCTGCATTTAGAATAGCTACCTAGTAAACCAGATGCAAATGAAAACCCCACAATCTTGAGAGGAGGAAAAAGTTTTGTTTACCCTTTGGAAAAAGAAAACAACCATATTTTAAATAAATTTTTGTGAACTTTATGTAGCCTTTTCATCACATGGTTGATTATACTGTACATAGAAAGGGTCCACAAAGATTATGAGAAATTGTGTCATGTAGATCTTCGATGCTGATATGGATAAAAAGTGAATAAATCAAGATTTTGCTACCAAAGCACATTCAATGGATCAAGCAAGGTGTTGATTTCTCTTTTCAAATCAAGGTCTTCTAAGAAATACAACTGAAGAATAATTATGACTAAGAGATAATTTCACACAAAAACACCACTGCATTTAGAATAGCCACCTAGTGAACCAGGAGGAGGAAAAAATTTGATTTTTGATCCATAAACTTACAGCTTATAATTCACCCTTCGGCAAAGAGAAAAAAAATCTTGAAATGATATCAAGAGTTGATCAACATAAAACAAACATTTTTTTAAAATAAATGAAGCTAACATTAGTGAAATGTATTTGTGGCAACAAAAAAAATCAACAACTTTAGTGATTGTACCATATATCTTATAAAATCATGACCCGCACAACTAAACTAAAAATATTTCAATCACAAGTTTCCTTCCAACTTTAAACTATTTATCAAATTTCAGCCAATATATTTAGTTCTACAAAATTTAAGCCCACATAGAGTTGCTTTGTATAACATTTAAAAAAATGCAATAAAGGACTAATGTTGTAAGTATTAATTCAGACTTGCATGGACGATAAACATTCTAAGACTGACCTGATACTGAAACATTTAATCACCATCACGACTTCGGGCAATTAGATGTGAGCCACAAACATGAAAAATGTAAAGGCACCAAATTCTCTCAGCAAGTTCACCTGGAAATAAGTTTATATATTAATTCTAGCATTTCCTCTATTTCATTTCTAAAACAGATGGGGGGACGGGGAGGGTTGACTTCAGAATTAATTGGATATATATACTCACAGTCATTGTGCTCCTTCATATCATGAGCACAGTCGCAGCATCTGCAAAACAAAATAAATGTGAATTGCAGCCACAATCATACATCTTGACAAACAGTATTAGTAGGTAGAAAAGGAGCTACAATACAAAACCTCATTGTTGAAAACTCTCCTCTAAACTGAATCTGAATTTCGCTCAAATAAAGTCTAAACAAGGGTGACCTGCAACACCAATTAGTAAAGGGGGAAAGAAAATCATTCAAAACCTATGACTCAGTCAGTTCCTCTGCAAACGAGATGATTGATTCAAATCAAAGTCCAAAACACGTCCAAACATTGCATAGAATGGTATAGGAATACCAGGATGGAATTGCAACGGCTACAAGGGATGGGGATATTTTCCACAACTGATGCAGCTGACTTCCCAGCAGTCCACTCAAATACTCGAGAATGTCACTATCCTAGTTCCACCACAAAAGCCAACCATGATTACTAATACAAGAAGATAAAGCATGAACAAGCAAAGAAGCATGTATACTTGTCAGCATTAATTTAGAACCTTTGTACTCACTGCTTCCTGTTTAGAAATAGGAGCTGTAGATCTTCCAAAAAGTAAGTTGCACACGTCATGATATTGCTCCGAGATATTTTTGCAATCATAAGAAACTGACACCAATTGTTCAATTAGAGAAGTCCATCTGCTTGTAATGCACCCTAGTAACAAGAGCTCCTGTTTCGAAAGGGAAAAAGAATTACACTTCTTATTCAGTGGTGTGGAAACATCATAGACAAACAGTTCAATTAGCTATATGTATTTTACAGCTCTGAAAGGGGCAACTTTAGCGTAATCTCTAGAATCAACAGTATAGTTTATTTCCTCAAGAATGAAATTGCCTATATGATTAGGTGACGCCCCCACACCTTTCTTATACAAGAACTATACAATACACAACTCTAAAGAAAATAACCACGCGACCACGGAAATATTGCTGGAGAGAATCAATCCTTCAGGGAATTCATTATATTACAAAAGTCACAATTCATTCTTATTTATTTAACTGAACTGACTTACAATTGTTTCGCACAGACCATCATCACTGCAACCTGCTGAAACATTCAAATTCAGCCGTTCAAAAATTTGTACCCACTGAATCTTAGAGGCAGCAAATATCATGCTGGCACCGGACACTAATTGAATAGTTCTCTTATCAAGAAAATAGGAGAGATTCTTTGATTTCCAACGGTTCCATGTCAGAGAACCAACCAACCACTCTACAATCCTGAATAAGGAGCCACAAAATATTCAGTTCAGGTCATAGTTGTGAGATCCTGAAAACATACATACAGCAGTAAAATTTTGATTTGTCGTGTAAACATCTCTAGATATCTACAAAAACACTCATGAATGAACTAAATGCATCTCAGAAAAGGAGTTTATGAGGAGACATACAATCCTCTATCACAAAGAGACTAGCCACTCACTCCTTAAGCCAGACACATACAGTCTTAATACAACTCCTCAGACTAAATCTTGCACATAGGACACAATTCACTTCACTTCCCTCACACACATTATTTACTCTTCTGTTACACACGCTTGTGGACACACATTTCCCACTTACTCTGGAGCATTTTCATGCTTTAGTTGTTCTTTTAACAAGCTATCATCAAACTCGCTCCAACTATTGTGTCTAACATTTTGAGAAAGAACATCTAAGCCTGCCTCAACCGCTGATATTAAAGAAACTTTAGACCACCGCTTCAAGAGCTCTTGCACCACATACTTGGTGAAACCATCACCGGCGCAATTTTCAATCTTTGTAGCTGGTGCAATGCTTCGTTGAAGCGTTGTATTCTGCAACTTCAACTTGTTGAAGTATGCATTCAGAATATCATGCTCAGTTTCTGATAACTCTTCAAGATCCATCTCTACAGTTGCCATCAGCAAAGCTCTGAGATGTGCATCCCTCAAAGGCAAGGTATGAATGAGATGTTCTAACACAAAGCCCCGTGCAGTAGTAAGAGTAGCAGATGAAAGATGTGCAAGCCCCTGATTGATCAAGCACATACAACTAAGCTAAGCAGGCTACACTTTAAACTTTTTCATAAGCAAAAACTAGTTAATTCAACAAACTTAAGGAGCCAAACCAATAAAATCAATAAAACTATAACCTTAGGAAGAGAAGCAGCAGATGTCATTTCAGATAGAGCTGCATCAAGTTCCTCCATAGAGCCCACATAATCATCTGAGCAGCCAAAACTTCCAAGGACCTAACAGCACCAAAAGAAAAATCTCAACTTACTGAACCCAACTGAAAGAGACATGAAATTCAGAGATACCCTTATCACTCAAACCAAATATGATTGGGGAAAAGCAGTGAAAGCTGACCTTCTCAAAGAAGAGCCCCCATTGGAAGGCTTTTTTGATGTTGTGGGAGTCCCAGTGGGCAAGGCGACCAGAGGATTGATACCCAGAAAGCAGAAGCAGTATATCTACAAAACCTTTGATCAGATTCAAGAGTTGCTCCAAGGAGATGTGTGGGTGGTTCCAGCCCATCGTCTTCTTCACTAAGCCACTGCCCAAGCTTACGACAGGAAATGTGAAATGGAAAGGCCCTCAAGCGGCGGTGTCTCTTTGGCTTTCTGGTTTTCCCGCCCTCCCCAACCTTTTTCCTTTCATTGGGAGGCTAAAATCAATCATTTTTGCTTTGTATTTTAAATATTTTTGCTTTTTCCTTTCATTGGGCGCCACGGCTTCTGCTACCGCTCGATGGCGCCAATCAGTGCTTACGACGTCGTTTCAATTCAAAAAACACGGACATTACATTGGCATTGATTTTCATACGACGTGTCGTCTGAAGGGTGAATTCCCAACCACACAGGACGACACATTCATCATCAGTCAGCAGCTGAACTGAAAAAACCCCAGCATTTTGAGATGTCGTGCACTTCCCTGCTCAGCCCTCCCAACCTCCCAACTCCACCGCTGCTGACGAAACCCAGCACCGCCAAATGGGCCAAACCCAAACCCATCACCTGCCACGTCAGCACTAAAATGTCCAGCAACCAACCGCCTGACCCAACTTCCCTCCTCTCCTCCGCCGCCAAACTCCTGTGGGGCGCCTCCCTCCCCCCCGGCCTCCTCATCTCCACCGTCCGTACAGCCTGGAATTCCACGTGGCGCATCATGATGTCCCAGCTCGCCCCCTCCGACCCCACCCTCGCCTACACCAGACCCCCCTCCAAATTCCGCGCCACACCCAATCAAATCCCCCGCCAAGCAGAAACCTCCCTCCACCTCTACGTGGGCCTCCCGTGTCCCTGGGCCCACCGCACCCTCATAGTCCGGGCCCTCAAGGGCCTCAACGACGCCGTCCCGGTCTCAATCGCAGCGCCGGGCCAGGACGGCTCGTGGCAATTCAGCAGCACCCCTATCCCCGATCCGAATACGCTCGTCCCCGGCCCGGATAACGCAAACGGGTTTAAAACCCTGAAAGAGGTTTATAAATCGAGAGAAGGAGGGTACGATGGGCGGTCCACGGTCCCAATGCTTTGGAATGTGAAGAAGAGAGAGGTGGTCTGCAATGAGAGCTACGATATAATCCAATTGTTCAACTCGGGACTCAATGAGTTGGCTCGGAATCCGGGTTTGGATCTCTCGCCGCCTCCATTGAAGGAAAAAATTGAGACTTGGAATAGCATAATCTACCCAAATGTCAATAATGGTGTTTATAGGTAATTAATTAGTAATTAATTAATTAATGAATTTAATCAAGAACTGTATATTTATTGGGATTTTCCATTTTGCAGATGTGGATTTGCTCAGTCTCAAAAAGCATATGATACGGCGGTGAATGAGTTGTTTGATGCGTTGGACATGGTGGAAGATCATTTGGGCAGCTCAAGATTTTTGTGTGGAGATGATCTGACGCTTGCAGATGTTTGTTTGTTCACAACTTTGATTCGGTTTGATCTTGTGTACAATGTGCTGTTCAAATGCACCAAGAAGAAGCTGATTGAATATCCTAACCTTCATGCTTACATGCGTGAGATTTACCAGGTACTGCCAATGCCATAGCTTCTTTTCACAGAAGCTAGTTAGTGCTTTTCTTTTACCAAGTTCTGATGAGACCGCTTGGGTGTTTGTGCAGATTCCGGAGGTTGCAGAAACTTGCAATTTTACTTCAATCATGGAGGGCTACTACAAGACCCTTTTTCCGCTCAACCCAGGAGGCATTCAACCCGTCATGCCCTCCGGGTCTGATCATGAAGTCCTCTGCAGACCTCACAACAGGAATTCACCGTCTCTTAGAGATAAAAGTGCGGCAGCGCTTTACATTTCTTGAGTGATACGGCAACTCAGTTAAGAACTTCAGATGTGTATACATGATATGCAATGGTATTGAGTTTCTTCATCTGCCTTCACACTTGAGGCCTTTTTCCTTATATTTGTACACTTGGGTGCACCCAAATATGATAATAAAAGCAGAATAGGCATTTCTGGCTACATATTCTATTTATAAAACACAATATCTAGCCTTACGTAGCAGCAACCATATATAGAACTTTAGAGTAATTTTAGCAGTCTAGCCTCTGCCAACATTGAAAGCTGCGGTGTCTGGCTTTTAAATTATCATTGATAACATTAGACACCAAATCGGCTATACATGTATAAAACCCTGTACAAAATCATCCAACAAGAACTATCCTCAGTTTGACACCTATCCTTGATATTGAACCAAAAGAGAAGGTAGCCACTACCCACTATCCATGAACTGACCCACCGACGTTCATGCTGCAATTGATGCAGATCTAGATCCTGTTGGATGCAGACATCAAAATGAATGTTAGCATCGGGAGCAACATGTAGTTCGGATTAAAAAATTATTTTCACAGACAAGGATGTGCAAATTTGGCGTCTTAGGGGGCAGAAATGGAAAATACACTTACTATTTGAACGTTTCATGTTCCTGCAGAATTTACTACCACATCGGCACTGGAACACCTTAACAGGATGATCATGGTCATCAAAGTCAATGCCATAATCCTGCAAACAGAACAGCCACATTATCCATAAAGTCATTTATACATTAACTTATTCAATATCTATATCCAGAACCCTGTCATCGAAATTATACAATAATACCATGTAATGCAGTCCAAAATGGAAATTGCTTTGCCTGTTCTAAGGTACCATATTGTGCTTGAACATTTCTAAAGGATGAAGCTAAATGTTGTCTTCGGGATAAAGGCACGCCAGCACACCATATTGAGATAAATTGTTCTGATCAAGGCCTCAAACATCACATACAGTTATAATCTACAAATCCTTCCATGTGGTTGTAGGTTCAAAGTAGGTACTCAAGCATCACTTATATTTAACCGAACAATATCAATCAAACCTGTCCTCTTTATGCATTTTTATTTCAATCAGCATGAAGCCTTTCACGGTAAATAGATAAACAGGTTTACCAAACATCAATTTACCATAGTTCGATGAAGCAGAAATGACTCAATTGAACTAGAAAATAGTAATAAAGATCACTTGTAAATATGGAATTATATGTACATATTGCCACAACCTATCTAGCATACTAAATCTGAAATAATTTATAGAATACGCCAGTCTGGTGAAATTCAAAGCTAAAAAGCATCTAATTAAAGTGGAATTAGTGGACAGTGGATTCTATGTTGGCAAAAAAGATCTTAGTAAGACTTGGCTGAATAAGTACAAGACTAAAAATAGAAATAAATTTCATATGCATAAGAGTTTCAGCATTTTAACAATTCACATGAAAAAAAAAGGTCCATTATGATACATTCAAGTTTTCAGAATGCTGATATTAAAATATCAACGTTTCTCCTCATATGGGAGCAGCTATGCTTATTCCATTAAAAACTAATTCTGAAAGGACAAAACAATTTATGCCATATGCATACCACCAACAAATACAATCTAATAAGATAAAATATACTCACCCAATTAAGCTCTTCCAAAGCATCCACTTTTCTTGTTGTGAAAAAAGCAATCTGCACAATAGAACATATAAATATGTCTTCAATCACCAACAAAGTTGATAACGATAACTATGCAAATGAAGGATCAAAGGCTCCATAACTTCACATACATGATAGTAGCAATGATCCGGGGTCTCCACTTCAACTGGGATTTCAACCAAGTTTGCATCCAAACATCTAGTAAGATACGAAACAATATCAGATATTCTGAAGCCTAACTCAATTTAACACAGTCAGACGTTTCTCCACACCATAGAATGTCATAGAATGAAGCCAATATGAATCAGCTCCTTCTGCTAGCAACCCTAGCTATGACGGGCAACAAGTTCAGGGAACAAATTCTACAGTTCAAGCTCTATTTTAAAGCAAGTTGCCTCTTTCCCTAGACACTCAGGCACAAGACCAGTAAACTTTCTTAAGGCGTGCAAGCTTTCCAGCAAGAGCCTAATGGCTCTGCTACTGATACAATGCTAAAGCTCCTGGTGCATAAATTGCAGCTTCTCTCATTTCTACTCTGTTCTTGTGCAACAAAAGAGTAACATGAAACTGTATTTTAACGCAACAAACTCTCAACATGCATTGCCTACTGCTAATTCCCTTTTAACTAGGTAAGTTTCCTTTTTGGCATCCTCAGCAAGAGTCAGGTTACTACAATTTGCAACTACATTCTAACCATCCTTAGTTATTTTCCTACTATACTATTTCTGATCCTAAGTATAAAAATTCCATGCATATGCGGAAACCAGAAACTTATAATGCCCCAAAATTTACAACTTCTGTTTGAGCATATGCAAAATAGATCCCATAGTTATAAATATCTTAGTAAAAGAAGATTAACACATCATATGAATTGACTATTAAGGACATGATTAACTGAAAGTTAACTTTGTCGAGCAAACAAAAATTTGGCTGTGGGCTAGAGGAAGTGAACTTCAAAAGTTTACCTGTGATTAATAAACCTAGCAACATTTCCATATTTTGTTGCATCCAAACAGAGAGCTTCTTCATTCCTCAAAACTGCTTTCAAACCCCAATTTGCATCCAGGAGCACTGGATAGGGACGTTTCCCACTTCTGGCGCTTTGAATGTTCCTCTCCTGTAACTCTTTGCTGGTTAGCACTTCTCCAACATACTCACACACAAAGGCACCTTTTGGCAGGTCCTCTAAGGTTCGTAGACCCCAACCTTTTCCTTCAGAAGTAAAAAATACCTGGAAAACACAGTGCAAATTAAACAGAGAAGCTGTGAGAACAGACTAAAAGTACCATAGAAGAAAACTTTATTGCTAACATTATAACTTCAGACAATATAACTAATAAAATTTAGGCACAAGATTTACATCAAGAAGAAAATAAACTCCGTCAAATAATGACAAACTAAGAACATTTTCGCATAAATTCCGACCTGCAACTTGCAATTTATGCCTCTCTGGACCACTCGATTGCCACATTGTATGACGCAGCCACATTTGCTCCAGCATTCTTTGATAAACTTTCTCCTTGAGTGGCCTTTGCATGGTTCTAAACAATCATCATTCTTTACTCTTTCAAGTGGGCAGCTTTTACAATATAAGGGATGATGTTGTTGAGGATTTCGAGTCATAGAGATACACTCTTCCAAGA